GCAGATCTCTGGGTCAGAACTTTGCATCTCCAGTGCCTGCGCCTGCGGCCTGCGCCTGCAGAAAGCGGCTCCCCCACCAGATGAGCCGTGGCCTCGGCCCGAGAGGCGCAGTGGCTCAGGCCCAGCGCGGGGCCCACTGGAGGTCCCCGGCGGCCTGGGCAGATGCCTCGGGGCCTTTGTCAGGTGTTTGGCCCTCACCTTGCTTTTGAGTTATACATGGCCCGCCGGCTTGTTACTAGATGCCATGGAGTTGAGCACGACTCACAGTGTGACCCTATGGACAACAGAGCTGAGACTTGACCAACCCTAGGCCATCTTCACGATCTCGTTCGACTCCAGCCAGCCCCCTGTGGCAGTTTCGTGGCAGTCACCTCATTGAGTCTCTTCCTCTCTTTCGCAAACCCTCTACCTAGCCAGCATGATGGGTTAGGGGTTACCAAAGTCAGACTTAAGGACAATTCCTACTCGCCCTTTAATATTATGTACATTTGCTCTCGCATTGAAAGGAGGGAACCAATCCTTACTCAAAAGGAATGTATCCCACTCGCCTGCACTTGCTGCCCGAGCACCTTTTAAATCAGTAGAAAGGCTTCCAACCTTTTCGTGCACCAAAGTGAAGCCAAATGAGAGAGCCCTCTGAGCCTGTCCCGACTTGCCTGCAAATTCTGCTTAAAGACATTTACAAACTGACCTGGGATCTTGTTTGTAACCCACCGGCGGCCTGTCCCCACCCCGCCCTCGAGTTGTGGAGGGACTTTATGGCGGCCTAATGATGGGGTGACCTCGTGGCCTACACGCCTGAGAGCCCCGCCGGGCCTGGACAGTGACGGTGGGTGGGTGGGTGCGGGTGTTAGGTCAAGAGCCCGACGAAGGACCTACCTCCAGGGGAACTGCGGGCCCAGCCTGGCCTTCCCCTGGGGATCAGAGTTCGGGCCCGCCGCCCCCAGGAACCCCGCGCGCCCTCGCAGCCGTTTTGCCGCAGACCCCCGAGGGCCCCCTCACCTAGGGGCCGGGTCGGGGGGCGGCCGCGCGGCGGACAATGACCCCTCTTCTCCGCTCGCCGACGCCTCCCCTGCGCCGCCGCCGCCGCCCAGCCCCCAGGCGGACCTATTAGCCATTCAAGCTGACAAAACCCCTAGGCCCGGCGCATTGTCCCGCCGAGCGCCTGGCCGCTGTCATTAGCCCTGATTACGCTGAGCAGCCTGACAGCCCCGCGGCCGCCGCGCGGACCCCCCACCCCCGGCCCCGCCTCACAATAGCGGCGGAAATGTCCGCGCCCCGCGCCCCCCGCGCACCCCCGAATGCGCCGCGGAGCTGCGCCCTCCCCTCCCGCTCGCCCGCCCGCTCTGCGGATACAGTTCTTCCCCCCTTTTTGTTAAAAGTAGGCAGAGAGAACCAGGTCAAGAAAGACTTTGAGGTCATTTGTTTAATGTAAACAAAGAGCAAGTCTTCCTTGTCCTAGCCTCTCATCACCACCCTCCACACACAGATTTTTATAAACAAACTGGGGAGATGGGGAGCGGAGTGCTTGTTAGAGTTGAGACCAGGGGGGCTGTGGCGGCGTTCGGGGAGCAGGGAGCCACCGGGTCCTGCAAAGAGAGAAAGGAAATGCACCTTCACGGTGGCCAGGGCCCCTGAAATGTAAAACACGCATCTATTCCCAGTCCGCGGGGGTAAGCTGCTTCTTGAGGAATGGTGTGGCGAGATTCTTTAGTAAAAGAAATCTTTGATACCGAATTACCTCCAAATCCAGAGAATTTCAACTGTCGTATTATTTGTTTTGTTTTGATGACTTCTTTTCTAGACTAAAGCTCTGGAATGATAGGTAGTTGTGCCGCTTAGCTGGGCCTCTCCGGAGGTTCGAATCCACCAGTGCGATTTGACAGCCTCTGAAGATTGGAGGGCCAGCCAGCTCTGAGTCTGTTCAAAGTGGATCGTAATGAGTGAGTTAGTAAAACAGATATGAAAAAAAAATATCTGGAGAGCAAAGCCTTTTACAATGCATAGCTAACAGAAGATTTGGACCACTGTAAAGAAAAGAAATCTCCACGTGAAAATTTAGACCAATTTTCAACCTGGGGTAGGGGCGGGGGGAAGAAAGCCCTGCTGGCTGAGAGGCTAAAATTCCCAGTTTGTTCTCCTGTTAACAGTTTCGAGCCATCCTTCGGAGAAATAGGTTATTACCGTAAAAATGCACAGCCTTGGAAACTCTGTGTGACTGTTCTACTCTTTTCTATGGGGTCATTATGTGTTAAAATTCACTTATAATAATGAGGATTTTTGTTGTTGTTTTGGTAATTATTAATACACTGATAATTGGCAAAGATGGATGCCTTCATGGTTCGGATACGCTTTTCTTTTAAACTAAAAAATGTATCACTTTCTTAAGATTCTAAAGTTAAATTCGGCAAGTATTTTCCTGGATCATTAGAAAAGAAGAGGTGCTTTAAGATGTAATCTTTAGGAAGTGTATTAGTTTAAGCAAACAGTAGCTGTAGTATCACAGCTTTGACCAAAGCAGGGGGGAGAACGCCATCATTGCTGTTAAATAATTTTCTTTTCTCCAGGCAGTCAAGCCCCCTTAAAAATTACTTTATGGGGGGGAAAGTTTATTTTCCGGCGTGACCCTGTTTTCTTGAGACTACAGAGTGAATATTTCTTTCTGCTTAGGCATTGTCTAAACTGGCGAATAAAGTGTGAATTTTAGAATCTCAGATTCCTTCGTATGATTCGACTAATGAATTCTTACCCGTCTCTCTTGGATTTGGGAGCATCAGCGTCAGAAAGAAAAGTCTATCAGCTATCTCCTTCAAATGCTGCTCTGAAGAGCTATATAGGGGAAGAATGGGAAAGGGTGAGGATAGGAGACTAGAAGTAGTCAGATTGTTGTTGTTGTTGTTGCTGACATGAAGCCCCCATAAGGCCCAAGAAGGACTAGGGTGAACCAAGAGAAATGCTTAGAGTATAAAATTGGAGAAGGCATTCTCTCAAAGAGCATGCAGTATAGGAGAATCATCTGGACGTTAGTTCTTTCTTATATTTTTGTACATTATATACCTTATTTGCATTAGTTTAGTCCTATCCCTGCTCCTGACATTCCAGGAATTACTTTAGCTCTTGGAAATAAAACAAGAGTCTTGAAGAAGCTCTATTATTCTGGTCTCAGAAGGCATCTACTTTCTTTAGGGACAAACACCGGCTTGATCACAAAGATTGCCCCACTCCTAGTATCTAGAGCTTCCATGCAAGAAAGAAGAGTTTTGGTTTCCAACAATTCTCAGAATAAGGAATGTTGTAGATAATGACAAACATTCATGAAGTCCAAATGGAGCCAACTTGGTTTAAGTGGTTTAGCAACCCAAACCAATCCTTATTTGTGTCCTGAATTTCCACTGTATATCTTACCATTTGATTGCCTTTTTGTCTTCCAAAGCTTAGTTTTGCTCTTTAGCACTTCTGCCTAAATAAGTTCGAATTCTTCTGATTCAAACAGCATCTTGAAGAGGCTTGTTAAAGTGATTTAAATATCAATGCCAAAATTTTAACACATGCAATCCTTTTTCACTACAAAAAATAGTTTAGAGGCTTTCTGGGGAGCAGTAAGCTTCTTAATTCAAGGAAAGCTGTAGGAGTTTTTGGGTTTGGTACATTGGGGAAGGAAAATAGGGAGCTTAGGTTTGTTTTTTTTTATAAAAAAAAAAGCATACCACCTCTCAGTAGCCTTCTGCTATACCTCAACAAGTAACATGAGTCACGTCCCCCATCTCAACAGCACTGTCATTGACAAATAAAACTCACTTAAAAATGCTAGTCCAGCTATTTACACCTACTCTTCTTCATTTTATAAGAATGAATATAATCTTAAGTCCCGTATATGCCCATTCTAATCACATTGGAGGGTTTGATCCCTGGCGTTCACTGCTTTAGTTATTACAGTGAACCTTCAAGGAGATGCAAAGTCTTTCTTATTCCAGAGCCTATGCCTGAGTAGTCTTGCATTTTTATATATCAAGATTAACTGCTTGAGTATCTTAATTTGGCTTCTGAAGATGTTCCTGAGAGTCACTGGCACTTTATAAAATTGTCAGGTGGACACATTATAATGGCCCCTGCTGGGAACTCTTTTGGGGGAATTGCCTTCCAGATATTTTCGTGTCCAATTTCTAGGTTTAAAATAGGACACATGTGCATATATGTATGTGTATCAATTTATATACACACACATTGTTATTGTTGCTGCCATCCAGTGCATTCCACCAAACTTTAAAGGCTGCGCTCTTTTGGCAGCAGATCACAATGCCTGTCTACAGAGATGCTTAAAGACAGCTTTAAGCCTCCATCTTTCAGTATTAACTGTTTGAGCCATGCTGAAATTTCTCCATGTACATACATATATTGACATACATAAGATAACATTTTAGCTAGGAGGTGGCTATAGATTTACTATGGGTTCTTAAAACAACAACAGCACTAATATATTCAGGACACATCAGAAAAGACAAATGGTATAGTGAAGACGCACAGGAGCGCACTTGCCAGCGGTGCTCGCCTGGCAGGAATCCGAAAGCAGCTCTCTCTAGCAAGACTGGATTGCTCACCAGGTTGTTTTATTGTTAGCTGAGCCACACAGAACCCACCGGCCAGTCTGCACATTTAGAAACAGCGAGTTCCCAAAACTAGAGAGAAGCCCACGGAGGCAGTTCCTTTAGTAAGTAAACAACATAGATATGTTTTGTTTTTAAAAAAACCATAAGATATATAACAGCGTCCATTCAACGTGAAATGCCCGCGGGACAGTTAGGGCTGACGCTCCAGCAGTTCAGGTTCTCCAGGCATCTTTGCGTCAGAATCTTTAGGAAAAAGCAAAGCGAGGACAGAGTGGCGCGTGAGCGGGCCCCGTGGGGGTCATTGGTGGAGTTGCGCTGGCTCGTGTCAGCTGCGGCCCTTGGGCCAGTCCTAGCCAGCTGGCTTCTGGACGGGCTTCATTGAGATTTGTTTGACCTCTCATTTTTCATTTTATTCGGTTTGTTTTCCACCAGATTCTGTTTGTGAACCTCCTGGGTCAGATGTCGCATTCGCTGTCACTGGACGTGATGGAGATCGCCGAGGTGGCCGCCTTGCTGGACAGACTGGCGGCTGGACTCACCGCACCGCCCAGCATCTCGGGCGTGCCCTCGTCCTCGGCCCGCAGCCCTCGCCCGGAGCCCTGGGACAGCACCTGCTGCTGAAGCCTGTGAGGAGGGAAGGAGACAGTGGTCACATCGTGCGACTGAGAGCCAGCCCCTCCGTTCACCCTTCTGCAGCCCCAGCAGGCAACAGCATTCGCTGGAGCCTGGAGCCAGGTCGCCAAGGAGCTCAACCCTCAAGCCTCTTCCCACTGCCCGAATCTTGGGGATGTGTGACCACACAGGTTTCTCCAGTTGTCCACTTTAGGAAATTTACAAGACTAACAGGAAATAGCCACATCTATATGACAAGGATGCCCTTCCAGCATGCGTCTGCGTGGAGCCCCAGCCCGAGTCTGTCATTCTGGGTCGAATTCCCGGGTCCAAAGGCGAACACAGTTGGCCACCTGAGGGTCCCACTGAGGATTTGGGTTTGACAGGCCAGACTTAGCTTTTGATCAGAATATTAGACGAATTGAGATTTTCACAGGAGGATCTGAAAATGATGAACCTAGTAGTTTGCTAAGCTGTGCTCTGGCCAGCCGCTCTCGGGAAGAGGAAAAGTCGAGTGCATTGGAAACTATTTCCAAAGCATTAGCAAGGGATGCACCTGAGTTTATAAAATATCACTACTAAAGCGCCAGTGTTAAAAAGCCAGGCTTCACTTTAGTGCAGGAGCTACGGCCCAGGAGGAAACAATTAGCTAGAGGCCTTACGGGTCGCTCATTGTTTCCAGGATTTCAATTGTTTTGTTTTGTTTTTAATTCCCCAATGTAGCTTTGGTTTGGTGACCAGGACGCCACTGGTGGAAGAACCTTGAGGTGCCAAGGAGAGAAACTTGGGGCCAAGAACCTAGAAGGGAGCCCGCTCCTCACGCTAGGACTCCGGAAAACTGTGGTCTTGAGTCTGAAGACAGACTACAACCCCCAACTCCTGCTGAATCAGAGGCGCCTTGGCCCCAGGCGAAGTACTCCAGGGTGCTTCCTCCATCCCCTCCGCGCCTGGATCGCTCTAAGGTACAGACCTGTTCTTGGCTGCTGCCGCTCTGTCCCTTTGTCGGCGGTTCTTGAACCAGTTGCCCACCTGCGTGGGGGTCAGTCCAGTGGCCTGGGCGAGCTCCCGCTTTTTACTGGGGTTGGGATACGGGTCCTGCAGGTACCACTCGCGTAGCAGGTGTCTCGTGCGCTCCTTGAAGCAGTGCGTCTTCTGCTCGCCGTCCCAAATGGTGCGTGGCAGCGGGAACTTCTTCCGCACCCGGTACTTGTCCACCGGCCCCAGTGGCCGGCCACGCAGCTTCTCGGCCTCCTGGTAGTGCGCCTCCAGCCACAGAGCCTGCAGCTTGGCGTGCGACTCCTTGGTGAACTTGTGGTTCTCCAGGATGTGGTAGAGCTCGCGGTAGTTGCCGCCGTGAAAGGCCACGATGGCCCGGGCGCGCAGCACCGACTCATTCTTGTTCAGGGCCTCGCAGGCCGCCGGGGCCACGGGCAACGACCAGAGGAAGCGACCCAGGCGCTCCACGTCGCCACTCTCCTCCAGGGTCTCGCATACCCCGGCCACTTGCTGGGGGCTGAAATTCAGGATGGGCAGCTGGAACATCGAGGCAGTGCTCGAGGCGGCGGCGCCGAGCCCTGGGCGGGACGCGCAGCAGATGCCCGCAGGCCCGGCTGGGTGCGCCAGGCTATCCTCCGGGACGCGCCTCGGAGCAGTGGCGGCGGCCGCAGCCGGGATAGAAGCGGGATCCGGGTTGAGGAGGTGCCGGCTCGGCGGCTCGGGCTGGGCTGCGCTCAGCTCCCGCAGGCAGCGGGCGGACGGGCGCGCGGGCGCAGCTACTGGGGTGGGCGGATTGGTGGCGCGGGCGCCATGGAGACCCCCTGTCAGTCAGCGGTCAGCTCTGCCAATCAAGGCTACAGCTAGATCGTCCTGGCCATTTCAGCACCTCCCCGCGCTTGACAGCGCTAGTCCGCGGACTTCTCCCCTCGCAGTATTTTACAGAAGCTGAGAAGACGCTTGCGCCGGAGGCTGGGAGAGAAACTGGCGAAAGCCACTGCCTTACGCTGCCCCCGCCTCAAGTCTTGTCCCTCCCTCCGGTCCCCCCCCCCCCAAGAGGCGCTGATGCTGCAGGAATCCGCTTTGGAACGATTCACTGATTCGGTTGAGGGGGGCTGTAGAGGACAAAGGGAATGGGGCCAAATGGAAATTCTCCGGGAATTTGCAAGTTTAGTTGTAAGGAAACAGCAAATGATGAGCGGAGCGTATGAAAGGAGGAGGGAGTGGAAGGAGAGAGTCTTAATCACCCCATTTCTTCCCGAGGTCTGTCCTTGCATGCCGCAGGCCTCTCCCTTTGCCCCAACTTTCAAAGCAGTCGAATGGACGTGGCTCTACAACAGGACGCATGGGACCAGGGATCAGTAGAAGAGGTCAGTTGGGGTTCTGTTCTCCCTCTCTTACAAAAGCATATCCAACTGGGAGCAAGGACACCCTAACCCGAAGGCTGGCCATGAAGTCAAAGATTGCAACCTGTCTCACCCTAGTAAAACGTCTACTTTTCGGCTGAACCCCTCCTGTCCCCTGCCCTGGTTAAATGGACCAGAACAAATGTGCTGCATCTAGAGTGAGAGGGCATCAGTTGGTCAGGACAGCAACTTAAAAGCTTACTTCGAGTCTTTTAAAAATATTGATTTGCTCCTCTCCTTACAGGCTAATTTTACCTCTATTCTGTGTTAGAATGTAACTCTCGAGCTGAGGGTAGGAAAGCTAAGCTTGGCCTTGTACCCTAAAAGCAAGTCAATAAAAGCAACGTAGATGACCTAGAAAAAGTGTCTCCCAAGGCCAGCTGGCCAGTGACCCCCTTCTGCAGGGAGGAAGAGAGGACCTTCGTGGAGGGACCCCTTAAGGTTGGCAGATTGAATTGACAACTTGTATTAATTCCCAATTGTTGTGCCCACCTCTGAAGCTTTGGTGAAATAAATCACTGTCTCTTCTGGGCCTTTGATAAGGTGTGTCCACTTTGAAAAAAACTATTTGGGAGAGAGGGTAGAATTTTAAAAATGCCTGGAGACTGTCTTTGGAATATCTACCCCTTCAAGAGAACCAGAGGGGAGGCACCACCAAACTGGACTAGGTCCGGCTATCTTTACTTTAGTATCAAGCACAGTTCGTACGGGGCTTGTACAGATCTGGTAAATCAGAAGGCAGATAGATAGCACAGATGGTTGGAGGTGTCGGGTCAGATCATGCTACGCCTGAGTGCAGAGCAAAGCTCGTTCTGACGGAAAACCTTGATATTATTTTCACAGATCTTCACAGTTCACTAAAAAAAAAAAAAAAAATAGCAGAGAGAGAACGAAAACCCCCTTATTCTTGTGGGATTGCCAGTCTCTTCAATAGAGGCTTTCTTTTCTACAAGCTCATTTTTTTTGAAATGCGACAAAGCAGGGGCAAGAGTAGGAGGCTGATGGGGATAATGACAAAGCACAGACCTCTAGGTTGCAGTGACTTCCAAATCAGCCCGAAGGACAACTTTGAGCCAGAAATACTGCATCAAGGCCTAGCACATACAGGCCTGGCAGGGGTGGACGGGACCCCCAGAGGGCTGCGCCTCCAGCTCCTATATCCTGGGAAGCAGAGTTTGGGCACATGATGGTCCTCATTTTCCTGCTTTTGGGTGCAGAGCTGGCCTTCTTTACTCTTCCCAGGAGGTCTCCCAACCAAGAGAGTCTCCAGCCTCAAGTTCAGAGACCAGGTGCACGGTCTCTGGAGCTGAGGAGGGACTGTACACAGTGTGACCGCGCCTCCACCAAACGCTTTTGCTCCATTCTTTGGAAAGGACTGAATTAGGAGAGATTTGGCTTACAGATGTGAGCAAGTCCTGTTCGTTTATTTGAGTTTAGGGGCCCTATCCAGGAAATGGGAATATTCCTCTTTATAGCGCATTTCTTGGACCATGAAATCTGGTCGTATGGAAGGTTAGATGAGAGGGTGTTTTCGCTTTCTTCCGCTTGTCTAGGTCTCACGACATAGTCAGAACCTCACCCTGGGACGGAGAGCCAGGCTGTGAACTCCAGAACCACGGGGAAAGGGTCCAGAGTAGGATCCTGACTGGAGTTATGGTGTCTGGGGCCTGGGTGTCCAGAGGCCTAGGACTGCTCTGCCTTGGGAAAGAAGTAATTGAATTGTATTAATTGTGTTGGTTGAAAGAAAAGAAACTGTTCTGGAGCACTTTCATATTCTGTATTCGTTCACCAGCTTTTAGTGACAAAGCAAAGAAGAAGTATATATGAGCTCTTATTCCAGAGCTCCAATCACTCCAAGGAGCGATTGTAAAGATCCTGCTCTGGTTTAGTTGGGGGTCCACACCTCACTCTTCAAGCGCACTTTTCTGGGGGTTCCCAAGTGAAAGGTTGATATCGGGGTCGACTTTTATGAATTTTATGCAAAGAAAGTTTTTAAAAAATATATTTTGGAGATTTACACTCACCCTCAAGCAATTCCCCTGCCCCACCCTCTCTTCTTCACACACCTCATTTTGCTTTTGAGTTTGGCCAAGAAACGTAGAAAGTGCAACAGCTGCCATAGACTTAGGCTTGTCTGCATGACTTTGTAACTTTCTGCGGGCTGGTTTCCTGCAAGTAGATCTGGGGACTCAGTTAGTGGCAGGAATCCACAGACCATTCTGTTCTCTGCAGTTGAGAGTTCTGCTTTGTATGGGGAAATATTTAGCGCGGAGGAGGGGTAGAGGAGCAATGTGGGAGATAATGCTCAAGCGTCAATTCTGTTTCTGAACTGTTTGGACAAAGTGAATTCAAAGCTGTTCAATTCGGAATCCAATCTTCAGAATCCAGCCTAGGACTTCTTCTTGGAATCCAAGTCTTGTTCCTGGTTCTGCCCTTCTTTGATTTTCCTCTTTACGGTGGAGTGACAGAGAAATAGAACCTCGATTCTTCTTGCTGAAGGATTTGCTTGGAAGGCAATTAATTTTTATCTCTGGATTCTAATTGCAAGCTTGGCTTACTCATTTTCATTTTGTCTTTTCTATGACTTTCCTTAGTTAAAAGTCTGCAAAAAAAAATTTAAAAGATGTATTTTGGTTCTGTTTCCCCACTGTCAGGGGTTCTAATAAAGTTGTAATTGAGAGGTTTTAATAAAATAGTAATTTAATACATCTGAGTTAATAAAGATATTTGTGCTGTCTGCATCTTAGAGTCACAGATCAGAAGACAAAGGGGCCTAGGCTTTTGTGTAGGTCAGTTTTTACTTTTGAGGGAGAATATCTTGATTTTCCTTTCCTGTGCTTCATAGCTCTGTGTTGTCCTGAGAGTAGGCTTTTATATTTCTTACTTAAAACTTGTTATTTTAAAATATAAAACATTCTATAAGGTTTGAAAAGATATTTTACATCCTTCAATACTATAGTCTTAAATTTCACCCTCTCAAAACGTTTGTTCAGATTTAATATTCTGCTTTTTAAGTGCTACTATATACATAAATAGATAAATACTTATGTATTTGATGGTCTAGATTTTCAGATCTGGGATGCATTTAATGTCCTATTTTTAAAGCATGCACTATCACGAAAGCTCCCAAGGTAGACCACTCTGTTGAACAAATTTCTCCCTTGCCAATGTACACCTTGTAACAAAGAATGGAGAAGTCTCTTTATTGTGTATAATCTGAAAATACATGTCATTTGAGAAATGTTTTGTAAACATACTAGCATTTAAAAATAACCTAAGTAAAATCAACTATAATTAGTGTGAACCTAATTTGTAAGAGACTAGGGTATTTTGTTTTTTGCTGATTATTCACACCTAATTGTTAAACATTTTTAAATGGTTCAAAATTTTGCTTGTCTTAAAATGCAAGACAATTTTTGAGGTTTGCATCAAAAGTATAAGTGTGGGGAAATGGACCATTTGAAAGCAATGATTAATTAGAAAGAGTACATTTAAAAAAATGTTAGACTATGCAACTTTATTTTGATCTCTAGTTTGTGATTGCTTCAAGGTATTTGGCTGAGGATTTGTATATATGAAAAAGAGTGTTTTATAGTATATACTCCAGCTAAACTGTGCTCTTAAATTCATTTTTATATCTTCACCTATTTTTTAGGGCAAGCCTCAGTGTGCACAGAATTAACCGTATAATGTTTGCTCACAGCTATGCATCAGCGGGTACTTGTCTGAAGGAATAATGCTTAAAATGTAACCATGTTGCCATTTATAAACACTTTATCATTAATAATGAAATATTAGTTGGATGACTGAAAGAATACTTAATTTGTAGTTCTCTACTGGACTATTGTTATTATTTGCCACCAGTTAAGTTTTTTTTTACATCTAAGATCACATTTTCCTTTTCATACACAGAAATCTTAAAAATCAATAAAGTGAAAGCGTAACAATTTTTTATTTAATATCCTTTGAGATAAGTAAAATAGTACTTAAATTATGTATAGAGTATCTACATATTAATCATACATGTATTTATAATATCTTCCATATATTTATACATACACATTATACATATATACATACCCCACTTTTATGACATATGGCATTTTACACTTCAAAGCATTAATTTCCAACTAGGACAGTTTTGTATCCACTTCTCTAGGGGATATTTGACAGTCTCTGGAGATATTTTTGGTCTAACATCTAGCAGTGGAAGCCAGTGCTGCTCCCCTTTCTTCCCCTTTACCTAA